TCTGGAGGAGGTGCCACTTGAGCCGGCAGGACTGGCAGGGTGGAGATCAAGGGAGGTGGGAGCAACAGGTGCAGAGCCCTGAGGTGAGCACACGTGTGGAATAATCTGGGGTCAGGGAGGCCACCTGAGAGCAGTGAGTGAGGGAGTGCGGGATCGGTGGGATAGATGAGCCTGGAGCCCTAGGCGCAGGCCCGACATGGTCACAGACATCCGTTTATCTGCAAGTACTGTGGACAGCCATGGGGCTGGGGGTGCCCATGACCTGGTTTATGTTTTTAAAAGACCATTCTGGCTACTACATGGAGCATGAGCAATAGGAGGGGAAAGGTGGAGGCAGGAAGACCAGAAGGAGATATTGCTGTTGTCCAAGCAAAAGAGGAAAAACGGATTGGATCACGGTGGGAAGAAGAGGTGGCCTCTGGGGTGGAGCTTAAGCCCAGAGGGCTTGCTGATGGGCTAGGGGTGGGGATGGGGAGAGAGAGGAGTCAGGGGGACGCCTGGGCTTGGTCCGACCAGGGCGATGGTGCCGTTTCTGAGATGGGCCGCACAGGGGAGACGGGGCGTGCAGTGGGGAGTCCATCCTTCCGTCAAGGGCACATGGGGTTTGAGATACCAATGGACGGGTAGATAGACGAGTCTGAAGCTCCCATGAAGTAAAAACGCCAGACACACAGCAGGCATCTGTCAGTCTTGGTTGACCCTGAGGCTTGGAGCAGGTATTTTGCGGGATTGGCATGTGTTTGGAGCCATGCCTCAGCATCTTGCCCTCCTTCTGCTCCTCCCCGCCCGAAGGCAAGGTGGCACCTCCTGGAGAAGGACCTTAATTACCAGCTGGAGCTGCTCGGGGAAGCCAGTTTGTTTTTATTCTCTAAATTTTTCAAAAACGTCCCCAGTGCCAGAAGCCCCCAGGGCATCTCCGCAGGATTGAAGCCATGTTACCCGATGGAGAAGTTAAGACTCACATAAGTGAAAACATACCGCTTGCTGGTGCAGGGAGTCCTGTAGAAATCTAAAGGCAGCCTCCTGTGGCTCCCAGGGAGGCCACTGGGGTTGCGGAGAAGCCCAAGGCCTGTGGGAGCCCAGTGGAGGCCAGACTCCCGTGGGATGGTCGGTTCAGGGAACAAAGTCAGACCCTTTCTACCCTGAGCCTGCCGCCCGGCTGCAAACAGGAGGTCAGCAGCCATTTCGGGAGAATCACCCTCTGTCCGCCCTGCCCTAAGCGCTGTGGATTCAGAGGCAAGCAAAGACGGCAAGATCCCCACCCTCAAGGCACTGACCTTGCAGCCGGGGAAGCGGACCATAAACTACTGCATATGTCATGTCAGAGCGAGGGCTCCAAAGGGAAGTGATGGCTGCAAGGGCTGTTATTTTTCTTGGCTTATCCACATAAGGCTTCTTTGACATCCAAGCAGAGATGGGAAGGAGGTGAGAATCTGGATGAAGAGTGTGTCAGGCCACAAGAATAGCAGTGCAAAGGCCCTGGGGTAGGTTACACGAACATGGTAGTTGGAGCAGAAGGAACAGGAAGGATTGTGGTGATCAATGGGGGTTAGAGGCAGATCCTGTGGGGTCTTTGTGCCATCATTGGGCTGTTAGGCTTTGGATAATATTCTAAGGATGACAGCTATTGGAGGGTTTTGAGCAGGACAGCCTTATGATCTGATTTACGGTTTAGAGGCTCCCTCTGGCTGCTGGGTGGAGAACAGACCAGAGGAGGCAAGGGTGGAAACAGGTATCTGCGTTAAATCAGGGGTTCCCAGGCTCCCAGGCACTCAGGAGGAGAGCCGGGGAGGCATATCAAAGACAAGATGGACTGTATTTTCAGTTATGATGGTGATAACAGTAGTCATAGCTGAGATTCACTGAGAAGTTACTATGTGCCGGGCACTGTCTTGAGCAGTTTATTATTAACAATCCTCACTATTATTATCCCCATGGTGTTAATCTGCTCGGGCTATCATAACAAATAACCACAGACTGGATGCATATACAACACAAGTTAATTTTCTTACAGTTCTGGGGGCAAAACTCCCAGATTCTGGTGCCTGCAAATCTGGTTTCTGGTGAGGACTCTCTTCCTGGCTTGTAGAAGGTCACCTTCCCGCTGTGTCTCCACCTGGTCTTTCCTCAGTATCTGTGCAGAGAGGGAGAGAGAGAGAGCTCTAATGTTTCTTAATAAAAGGACACTAATCCTGTGAGATCAAGGCCCCCACCCTTATGACCTCATTTGACCGTAATTACTTCCTTAAAGGTCCCATCCCCAAATACAGCCATACTGGGGCACTACAAAATGCACTCCATAACACCCATTTTACAGGTGAAGAAACTGAGGCACAGAGAGGATAAGTGAGCAGCCCAAAGTCACACAGGTGGTAGTGGCAACGTTCAGGCCCGTGTGGCCTGGCCCCATAGTCCTTGCACGTATCTACTTGCTATGCTGTGGATTTTCCCAGGGAAAATGATTGCCATCTGGTCGGAGAAAGAAGATCCCCAACAGGAAATCTAGACTTACACAGTGCTGTAGAGGGTGGGATCAAAGGAAGAGCAGGGATGGATGGAGTAGCCAGGAAGCCTGGAGGAGGACAAGCAAGCACTGACAGCAAGGGGAGGAGAAATTCCCAGCGTAAACGTAGAAGGCGGGTGAAAGATGGGAAACTCCTCCTGAGTCAGCAGATCTTCAAATTGTATATGCAAAACAAAAGTCCCACAAATAACCACCACCAAAACCACACTGAACAGAGAAAGTCCCTCACTCCCCACCCTGAAGGTGAGCAAAGATCTGAAGGCATTTCTAGAAAGGGGGACGTGGCCTGCCATTGGAGCTGAGTGGAGGGTACAGAGGGGAAAACAAACACGACCACAGCTGACATGTACTGAGAGCTCACCTGCACGCATTCATTTCACCTTTACAAACAGCCACCGGAGGTAAATACTGCTATATGTCCCCATTTTAGAGGTGGGAAAACTGAGGCACCGAGAGGCTGACTTGCCCTGCACTGACATGTATTGAGCTCTTACCCCATGCCAGGCATCACACATGCATTTTCTCACCGATCCTCACAACAACCCTGCAATGGAGATTTTTTCAATCTCTGTCTTAAAGGTGAGGAAACTGAGGCCCAAAGAAGTCGTTTTCCCAGGGTCACACAGCTCGTGTGCAGATTTGGTCCCAGGCCGAGCTGACTGCTAAGCTGAGGCATTTGTTC